ATCAAACACCAGCTCTGCACCATGTGTGGAAGACGAATACGATCACACAGGTTTGGAAGGTACGCTGCTGGACTGCGCTTCCCAAGGTTTTTGGATGAAGGCTTCCCATTCACTGTAGGTTACCAGTCAGTCAAAGCTTTAACTGGAAATGATCCATGTTTAATCTGGTTCCTCTGATCAGCGGGGCTGGCTGCCTTGCCCCATAACCACAGCAAGTTGCTGACTCTCCCTTGGACACCCTGTTCTGCAGCAATCTGCACTTCTTGCAGCAGGTCCAGTGGACACAAATGGTTTCGCACTTCATCAGCACAAACCTCCAACCCCAGACACTGCTTCCATCCATACTCCATACCAAGCCCATGAGCCTCACTTACCCTGTGTCCAGCCCTGGGCTTTCACATTCTGCTCTTCTACTCACCAACTGGTAGAGCCTGGAGTCTCCCAGTGAAACATTCACATACTCACATGCACTGAGAAATCAGGGTTAGTATGAGGCAAGGCCAGGCCAGGCTGAAGCACAGACAGAGCTCACCCAGGAAAGCACCCAGCCTGCTTACACACAGTTGCACCTTTTCATCCTCTCACCTACCCATTCTCCCATGCTTGTTTCTCCTCAGTTGGCTCTGATCCCTCCTTTCCCTGCCTCTGTTCCTTCCCTTAAACACCCCGTAATGCTTTGTGCATTCCTGTAATCCCCTTCAAACATCCAACAGCAAGCTCTACACAACCCCAGAAACCTCCTGAAACATCCCATCACAGAATCCCAGACTGGTTTGGGTTGGAAGGGACCTTAAAGCTCATCCAGTTCCAGCCCCTGCCATGGGCAAGGACACCTTCCACTAGACCAGGTTGCTCCAAGCCCCTGTGTCCAACCTGGCCTTGAACACTGCCAGGGATGGGGCAGCCACAGCTTCTCTGGGCACCCTGTGCCAGGGCCTCAGCACCCTCACAGGGAAGAATTTCTTCCTAATGTCTCATCTCACTCTCCCCTCTGTCAGGTTAAAGCCATTCCCCCTTGTCCTGTCCCTATAGGGCCTTGTCCAAAGCCCTTCTTTGGAAGGTGAATAAAACAGCATGTGCTCCCCCGTGCTGCATGTGCCTGTGTTTAACTTCCTAGCGCTGTGCCAGCATGCCCTCACATCTCACGAGCAGCGCATTTGTCATCTGCAGACACAGAACCATTTAGTTGCTAATGGAAGCAGTTTCTGCTCCCCTGATGCTGGTGTTCACGCAGCCAGGCACAGCCTGAGGCTCTGACAGGGCAATGCTCCATCCTGACTGCCCCGGCAGAGCAGCGCCCCTGTGAACCCAAACACCCCCAGCAGGTCCCCAGCTAAGTTCAATTAGTGCAGAGCAATGCTCCAGCAATGCTTGCTGAGCTGAGGGTCTGCAGGGACAGAGACCCACCGTGTCCACACAGGTCTGTTTGCAGCCGTGGCTCCATACTCAGCTCCACTCTGCACATCTCCTGTCCATCCTCTTTCACACCCCTCTGGGGTGCTGTCTGCATGCATCCTAGCTCTTGGTTTATCCCAGGAATGCCTACATTCATTAGAAGGGCCAGGTTGGACACAAGGGCTTGGAGCAACCCGGTCTAGTGGAAGATGTCCCTGCCCATGGCAGGGGGTTGGAACTGGATGAGCTTTAAGGCCCCTTCCATCCCAAACTGTTCCGTGTTCCTATAATGAATAGATCTTTGTCACCCTCACCTTACCAGCATGACGTCCACATGTAAAAGCTGGAGATGCTCAAGGTGCAGGTCAGGTGACTGCTTTCCTTTTCCATGCCCTCTCCCAGGAGAGAAAGGCAGGCACCTTGCAAGAACAAGCCCCAGGAAAGGCCTGAGTCTGGAGGCACCCCAAATCCCCTCCACTGGTGATAGCAGGGTGCTCACGACAAGGCTTTACAAATAAGCACTGCAATAGGTCTGCGTTTAGCATTGTAGCATCAGTCACATCATGAGGGTCGTGGTCTCCTTCTGTTCCAATGTCTTTAGACCCACCATCCTAAAGAGATGGAGTTGTTAAGAACAATTGCTATACACACTTTCTTAGCCATTGGAAACAGCAGCAATTCTGTGTGCCCCATTGCTAAGGGGCTCATTTATGGCCCAAGTGAGTGGAAGAGGCTTCGTATTCTCCACCCCTTGATTAAGCACTGCGCTTGAAAAGCAGGGTTAAGTGTTTACGAGCAGCACAGGACTTAAACTATTTCTCACATTGTACCACACTTCACAGCTTCCTGAACACAGCCAGGCACAGCAATAAAAGCATTCCTGCCAGCAGCACAGACCACACGTGGAATATCGTGCATGGACAGACACAGCACTTGCAGAGTCCCACTGCTAAATTGCTGCTGGTGTCCCCATGCTTTGGCACAGCCCCAGAGAACCCATGGATCTCAAAGGATCCTCAATGCCCCTCAGCAGAAAGCACTGATCAGAGAGATGGGGGGTGAAGGGATGTGACTGGCAAATAAATACCTCCCTGAGTTGCAGTGAGCCCAATATGTCCCCAGCCACTGACATCTTAAGAGGCAGTATGTAACTAGTGAGTAAAAATAACTTCTTTCAGGTCTATCACCATGAAAAATGGGAAGGACTTTATTGACTGGTAATTAGAATCTCACTACTTCTGGTAGCATACAAGAACCAAGGAACAGGCCTTTGTGTTAAGGGTATAGAAGCCAAACTGCATTAGCAATAACCATGTTTTATCATCCTGGGAATGCACAATAAAGAAGATTCAGATCCTGTAGCTGAAGTCAGTGAAAGGCACCAGTAATCAAAAGTCAGCACAGAATCTTAGCAAACACTCGTATTTAAAGACCTGGGTTTGCATCTGTCGTTTTCATTCCGGGATGTTGTACCTGTCTCATCTTAATGAGCTGATGGTGAAATGGAGATGAAAATTACCCAGGGTTTCTCCTGGAGCTTGCTCAGTGGGACTATCGAAAGGATGCTCTGGGCTGCATGGGCATGTGGGTCAGAGTGAGGGTTATTTTTCTCAGTGTGGATAGATCAAAAGATGAGAAAGGAAACCATGGAAGGGTTGGAAGAACTGCAATAACAAATGGCGTTCCCAGTGCATAAACAATTCCACTGAGGAAACTGCATCAGTAAGAGCCTGCTCCAAAAGCTATCAGCAACTACGCAAAGGCTCCTGCAGCATTGGAAGAGAAGGGGAAGGTCACAAATCAGGCTGAAAGAGCCACTATGCTTGGCTGTTCAAATCTCATTCCAGCTGTGCCTTACAAGGATCAGCCACATGTCCTAAACCTTCACAGACAGAAGGGTTTCATCCTGCTCTCCAGCCCCTCACAGCCTTATTGGGGAATGAATTCTGCCAGGTTCACCAAAAAGAGAGTTCTCTGCAGCTGTCCAGCTTAAACCTTCCCAAATGCATTTGTACTTCTATTAAGCAAGCCTCTCCTACGGCACTGCCAGAACAGTCCAGATCTTGCATTTGCAAAGCTAAGCTATTGCTACTGATAAAAAGAAATAGATGGCAATTACTAAGGAATTATGTTTACACTGAAAAATGACTGAATTTATTATCCAGCATAAAAATGGAGGCTTCTGCAGGAAGCCTGAACGCTTTCTGGTACAGCATGGGACAGGGTGACAAACAGGCACTTGCAACACACAGGAGTGTGTTCAGATCTGGTGACAAGGGTCCCAACTACCCACTTTGCTTGTATGCTGGAGAACTCTACTACAGGCTTACAAAGATATCCCCCTTGAGACTCTCAGTGAGATAGGAACTGTAGAGCACAGCTCTTGAGGAGAAAGGGAAGGCTGAAGATCCTTGATTCAGTCCCTACCTGTGCCACAGCTGAGAGACAAGCGACCAACGTACTCCAGAGGCTCTGGAGTCTGATTCAGAAGCTCTTTGCACGTAGGACTAACGATCAACGTGACTCACTGGGCTTGCCCCATTCCTTCTTGATGGGACATTTCAACACAGGGTTTACCTAACCCCTTCGTACAAGGAAGGGGTTTTCAGCCAGGCTCTTATGTATCACCCACACTACCCTGCATCGGGACTTTCCTTCAGCGAGGAGGGAAGGAAAGGAGCATAGTTTGTTGTTGGAGCAACAAAAGGCAACCTTCCTCCTCGCCTGAAACAGACACATACACAGGCTGAGGTCCACCACTCTCAGCCCTGCAGTGATTTATCAGGTCATCTCCCAGTCTCCTGCATCTGGACGCTGGTTATTTCAGGTCCATCACAAGGTCTGACAACAAAGCCCTTTCCCTAGACTTGCAAGCTCCTCGCTATGGGACAACCCTTCCTAGAGAGGACCTCCATGGAAACCAAGTATTGACCCTGGGGAATCCAACCCCAGAGCTGGAAAACCCTAGAAGCCACAGAGGGTCAAACTACCCCTCTGCCCATGTTTCTCTTGCTCTCTGGGGAGCACCTAGAGAAAACCTCACCTCCTCTGAGCCTAACACAGCCCTTTCCTGCTGTCAAAACGCCTTCTGTAAATGTGGGGCAGAGCGTTCATCTCTGCCAGCAAAACCAAAAACCCTTGGCAACTGGCTCTGCTCCACACAGCCCCCTCGGGCAGGTACCCCTAAACATTCCTTGTCTTCCTCAACCAAGCCCCACATCTCCATGTCAGGGGAAACAAGAGAGTGGGCCCATCTTCTCCATCAGGCTTCTCCTCACACAGACACCCATATACCTGACCTACTTGAAGATGTCCCTGCTCATTGCAGGGGCGCTGGACTAGATCACCTGTGAAGGTCCCTTCCAACCCAAGCTACTCTATGATTCTATAGAAGTCAAGAACAACATCCCCATGGTTCATTGCCCATTCCATAGGGATTACATTTCCCCATGAATCTTAAAGCATATGACTGGTACTCCCCTTACACACATACTTCCCAGTGCCACATCACACCTATCTGCCCATGCTTTTGCTTCGTGATCCTCAGAGGTTGTGCAAAGTCCCTGTCTGATGCAGGGCTGGTGCTGCTATCGCCAAGCCAGAGCTGTGATGATTATGGGGGTTTTCCTCTTTCCTCCCAGCCAATAAGAGCACCCAGAGGCACATCTTCCCCTGCAGGAAGCAGGGCTGTCACTCCTCTTGCAGGCAGGGTCCTCATCTGAAGTGGTGGAGATGGCAGTGAACTTCACCCGCAGCTTCACCGCGCTTTGCTGTGTAGCGCTCTGGAGCTTCAGCACAGCTTCAGGAGGTAAGAGTGGGAAGCAGTGTCTGTTTTCCTTGTGCTTTAGGTCCTTGAGTGCTGCTTTCTAATGCACTGGTAACTAACCACCCTTCGGCTACTGCCCATGCTGGTGGCTCAGCACTGCAGGGCTCAGGCTGCAGCTGAAAACCCAACTGCTTGGAAGACTTTCCCCCCTTGTAGCAAACCACGTTATCCGGGGACAGCACTGAAGGATTTTAGAGATGGTTTTAAGTTATTTGTCTGTGTTTAAACTCTGCGCGACCTTGATTATTAAATCTAAAGACTGTGGGTAACAATTTGACTGCTAAGTGCAGATGGGCACTTGAGCGCCGATTAGCTGCCTTTAATGAAGCATTACTGTGTGACATTCCTTTCTTTGCTGAGCAAGGAAACTCTCTTGATTGCAGCTGGCCTTAAATCTTTAGAATGGGAGCTGCAGACAGGAGTGTTTCCTCTGCAGGTTTTAGCTCTAGTTCAGTTTAACTCTGGCTCCCATACACACAGTACTAAGGCACCCAGGGGCATGGTGCTTGCTTGGCTGGCAGCTTTTCTTCAGCTGTGGTTTCCTTTGGGGGTTGCGGAGGCCTGCAGGAACTCTGCTGCATCTTCAATGTAGATAAAGGCTTGCTCCTAGTAATGGGGAGGAGGTTTTGAAAGCACCTCATGGGGAAATAAAAAAAGAGCAACCTGTTGCTATCTGCCTGTTTGCTTCACTGCAGGCTGGGAGGGAGCATCCACAGGATTGCTGTCTCCTACTGCAGAAAGAGCCCCCAGAGTATTCCTCAATGAGGAAAGCACAAGAGAGAGCCTCCAAATACAACATTCAACTCATGCCTGCAAGAACAGCCTTCTCTTGCTTAATAGCAGGCAGTTGCCTGTTAACTCAGAGCAAGAGGAGTCTACCCTGCTACCACCCAACAGAAGGGGAGGGGGGCAGATTTTCTCCCGTCTCTTCCCATTTCCAAACCCAGAAGCAAAGGATGGGGTCTGAAAACACAAATGCTCTGGCTCTAAGGGCTGTTTTCCCAAGCCATGAGAGCACATCCTCTGGGCTGTTCTGCTTTGCTCCTGAAGCAGGGCCATCACCATGAACACATTCAACTTTTAAAGGTAATGGCCCCCAAAGGCTAAGCTAGGGAGGAAGGCCAAATTGAACGGGGCTTGGAGCAACCTGGTCTAGTGAAAGGTGTCCCTGCCTATGGCAGGGGGTTGGAACTGGGTGAGTTTTAAGATCTCTTCCAACCTAAACCCATCTGTGATCCTATAAGAAGCTCTCATAAAAGGCTGTGGCGAAGAGAATCAGAACTACAGGTGCCCCACACCAGAGAGTTGCTGGGCTTTGCAAGGAGTGGTGCAAACTATTCCAAACATCAAAAGTTATTTCAGAGCAATGCAGGTACCATGGAGCAACTGCCTTGAATAAGACTCAAAGCATATAAAGAAAAACAAAGTCCTAATCTTGAGGAATATGAATCACTAGAAGCAAGGGGGGCAGGGGAGAAGAGAGTGGCTCAGTAATGTTCTCCCATGGCTCAGTGGATTCAGTACTCACTTTACTCTGGTCCGAGTCCTTCTCAGTACCAAGTTGCAATGGGTGAAGGAGGTGCAGTGCCAGGACCCCTGGGTGAAAACCATGGCATCCACACAAGCCTACCACCTTCCTACAACATATGGTTTATTACCAGCCTGCTACATGCCTGCATGTCTACAGCATGAGCTCAGCCTCACTCACCCTGCCCCACATGCCTAAAATAGGTGCCACCATGACTCTAGAAGTGTTGAGGGATATAAAGCAGCAAAGGACCTCGTGCTGAGTTTGAAAAAGCGCATGGTTATCCCCTCCTCCTGCAAGGGACAGCTTCTGCTGTTGGCACCCCAACCACTGCCACATCTGATTCTCCAACAGGCCTAAGAGCATAGATACAAGCAAGGTCCTGCAGAGCAGCCAGAAGAGCCCAAGCCACTGAGTTGCTCTCAGCCTGGCAGGCTCTCCCAGTGCTAGGGAAGCTCAGGTTGCCGCTCTGCTTTCTCAGTAGAAACTGGCTTAAATTCACAGTCCACATTTGGCTGTGAGTGAGAAATCTAGTTGTGAAAGAGCTGGAGGTGATAAGAACCTTAACTTTCACAGCACATTTAGCCCAAGTTCCGTGTGCACGTTTGCATGCATAGACAGGCTCACTGCCTACACACACAGAGCATCAGCTCCAAGGGCCATGGCCTGCACTGGCAGGTCTTGGCAACAGCAGTGGTTGCACAGCAACTTACAAGCAAGAGGGAAAAATCCTCAACCTGTGTATTTCACAAGCAGGAAAATAGAAGGGAAGGGAAGTGTAAGAGGGGAGAAAGAAGAGGACATACTGTTAGCTTCAAGCTTCTTTAAAGTTATTGAAAAAACAAGCAGGGCATAGGGAAATGACCTACACAACCAAGTAAGAACATACAGTGTGTGGAAAGGAGCGCTCAAACTCAAAAGCTTATGGGTTTCCCCCCTCTAGTTTCCATCTCCTACACACCTTGCTCCTCCACTTCATGGCTGTGGTAAGATGGTCCTTTGCATTTTGGTAAGGGCAGCAGCACTTCAGCACCCAAAGCAGCCTGTTCTGCAGGACAGTGAGGAGCTGGTCCAAGTTCTGCCCCAGGTCCTTCCCTGTGCCCAGCTGTAGAACATCCTGTCCCTCTCAAACGGGAGGGATAACAACTCTCAGCAGGTAGAAGGAAGGTCTTTCCCTCACTTTTATCACCACCTAAATCCCCCTAAAATAAAAACTTCAAGATGCCATCAAAGCATTAAGGGGGGGGGGGGGTGCGAAAGACTGATCTCTGCAAGTTGAACTTGGCATGCCAGCTAAGAGCAGCAGGGCTCTGCAATCCAGGGTCTCTTAAGCTATCAAAAATCATACTCTATTCTGAGCAACATGATCTATCTTTAGATTCAAAGCTGGACTTTCTATGAGCCAGGAGTCATCATGCCAGTGATGTTCTAAATAATCATGATAGTATGGGTTCCTCTGAGTCACTCTGAGCTCTGCTATCATCTTTTGATGTCACTTCATTCCACAGGGTTGTTTCACCATCTCAAACATATAAAGGAAAATGACTCTGTAACGGAGGTGAGCAGAGTCCTGAAGTACGAGTGCTTTGGACAAGTGAGGTTTAGCACTAGTTCAGAGGGCTGAGCTTCCACCGCTTCAGGCTCCTGATGTGTTTTGCACTTGTGCTTTGTGTTGTTTCAGCTACCTATGTCCTACCACCTCATTCAACCACAAAACCTGGTTTCCCTGTCCCCATGAACACTGACAACCCTGGTGTCCGCAAGGCGGCTCGCTTTGGAGTCTACAGATACAACAACAGTTCCAATGACCTCTTTCTGTTTAAGGAATCACAAATAAACAAAGCCATGGTTCAGGTAAGAAGAGCTCAGACTTCTGGTGGTCCTCCAAATCATTTACCAATTGACTCTCCTACAGAGCACCCAAGATATAGGAGCCCTGATCCTCCTCAGGACTGCTATGGATGCCTAAAGATAAACAGCTCGTGTTCCTCTGTCCCCTTCCACTGCTCCACAGAGCTTGGCTACCCCATCCCTACCCTAGTAACAAAACACAAAACACTTCACTCCACACACAATTTACAGAGGTACCACTTGATTCTCAGCCAAAACTTTGGCATCCCTTTCCCCTGCCCTTACTTTAAAGGAGGAAACTGCTTTCTCTAGATCGTCAGAGGGCTGAAATATATGCTGTCTGTGGAGATTAAACGCACCGTGTGTGAGAAGAGGGAGCATTCCAGCCTGGATAGCTGTCACTTCCAGAAGGAAAAAAACCTGCAACAGGTACATGTCTAATTCCTTTGGAGTACCCAGTAGCTGCAGGGGATTCTTGGCCATCTCTAGCTGTATAGTCACCATCAGAGCAGCTCTGCCATGTCCCAGGACAGATACAAGCCTCCTCTGTGCAGGACCAGCTGGAGTGAGGCAAGGGTTATCAGTATACCAGGGCTATCATTTATCTGTCCCTGTGGCAGGTCCCTTCCAACCCAAACCATTCTGTGAATATATATGACAGGTACAGTGTAGTACCTCTCATGCATTCAGGGCCCACTCTTCTCTGTGAGGAGTCAACCCAGGCACAGCCATCTAGTCCCTGTTCCTGGGTACCAACGTGTGCCGAAATACAACAGGTTCTGAATAGAGATTTCCTGGGAGGAGGAAATCCTTACCTGGGCTTTCCAACAAAGATACCATTATCTAGCAAACTACTTTCCCTAGGATAAAGAGAGCAGACAGAAAGAGGCTGTGCTGTCCTACCTCATCACAGCCCACCACCATGCTGAGACCAACCAGCAGCCCCCTGAATTTCCTCACCAATTCTTTTATTTGCAGATGCTGAAATGCTATTTTGAGGTCTGGATAATGCCCTGGTTACATACAGCACACGTTCCCGTTGCTCTCTGTCACTGACTCACCTTTCCTCACAAGAGCCTGACTTACAAGGGATCTACCACCATGAGTTTTCTGTTTTCTCTAAAAGCACATGGTTTCTCCCTGAGAAAGATGCTCAGAAGCTACAAAGACAAGACCTGCCCTGACAGAATTCATTGCTATCCAGTTGCGTATCTGTTTTTCCAAAACTAAACTGTAGATGAGAACATGTCATTCATTCAATAGAGCCACCCATGCTCTGGCTGAACTTCCAAGCCATGGAAGCTCTGTTGGACTTGCTTTATCCTGTGCCAAATCTTCACACAGCTATGATGTGAAGTCTAAACCACAGCATATGTGACTACAATATTGATGAAAGCTTTATAGCAGTGGAATAGCTTGCCTGAGGATACATATACATACCAGAAGAAAAGTCTTAAGAGCCTCCATTGCTAGAGAAAAAAGTTAAACTTACTTGTCAGGAATGTGTGAGGTAGAATTGTTCTTTCTTCCAGACAAGAGATGGATAAGGCTTGCTTGAATCAAGTGCTTGAAAAACACCCACAGCCCACAAATGACACAGTAACTACTGCTTCTATTTAAATCATAGCTAATCTAGGCTATAAAAGGGCATCATTGCAAATGTCAAGACAAATAAACCCAACCGTATTCCCAAAGCGTATTTTCACCGAGGTTAAACAACGATGTTTCATTCAGGTTAATATGTGACATTCGGTCTCTGGCTGATCACAGCTTAGAGTCAAGTTTAGTAGACTAATGGTCTTTTCCAGGTGGGTGCCCACCCTTCCTTCAGCCTTCACTCTTCACATGTGCACAGATTCTGACTTACGGTGGACGAAAGCACTTCTTTGTCAGGCTTTTTGTAACTGCTTCCTTAAAACAGGCATAAAGTCAGGGCCCTGTTGGGCTTTTTTTCCAAAAACACCCCTTTTCTTCTGACAGTTATTGCCTTTCTGCAGCAATATTGACACTCCTATTAGCAGTGACACCACCAATTATCAGCCTTTATAACAATCATCCAGTCAAGAAAGGCCACTCTATTAAATATCTCTCATATTTGACATTCTCCTTCCCCTTCCCCAAGTAAAGCAAGTTATTCCCATGACCTTTGGGTCTGCTGTACTTGCTGCTGAGCTCACACTGAACTAAAGAAGACTCAAGAACTTTTTGGTGTGACCACAGGTTCATCAGTGTACTGAGATAGTCTTCAGCAGTGGGTAGAAGAATAGAGAAAGGATAAAAACCAGAGACAACTCTTCATACATCTTATCCTTCCTGATATCAGTAGCATTACAGCCTACTTTCTTTCCCATTTCATACCTTCATGAACAGTGTCTTAGAAGGGAATCAGTCACACAAAAGCTATCCCATTTGGCATGCCAAGGTCTCTTTCACTGCAAAAGACAGTACAAGTTGTTCAGTTAAGACACTCTGGCAAATGAATCATTAGAGGTAACTATGCACCAACAGGCAAAGCTGGGCTTGCCCCAAGGCTACTGAAGCACCAGCATGACACAAACCCCACAACGGGCTTGGTTTTGCAACCCCAATTTAAGATCTCATCCAGCTCAAATTTCATAGCAAGAGGGCTTGCAGCCACATGACTGCTGCAGCCTGGCAGCCACACAGAGCAAGGTGACAGAAGCACTGACAGAGAAGAAATGCTTTCATTTGCACATCCCTCCATTAATGAAGATGAGTGCAGAAGGCCAGGGATAGCAGATGACATTTTTAACGTCACCTTTCCCTTCCCTGGTGCTTTGCATTATATCTCAAGCAAATCTTATTTCCTTTTCAAAGGTGAGTAAAACAAGCAATAGTGTAGCTTTATGTTTGACTATCACCCAGTGGCAGAAAAAGAGAGCGCAGCAAAGTCTTCAGTCACAAAGCACGACTCAATCCACTAAATGACACAGATAAACAACCCTTTTAGTTCTTCGAGATGCAAACCCTCTTATTTAAAATGTAACAGCACAGCCTTTCCTTTGTAGCAGCTGTCAGAAAAGAATTCTCTGCATTTACCAAGCAGGGTACCTGTTAATAGAGGAAGTAAACAATTTCCTCTGGAGATGTCAGAAAGCATCCATGAGTTGCTACCGCATTCCAAGATATTCTACCAAAGCCTTCCTCACCTGTTATTACTGTATTTTACAGGGGCCTTTTATTCCATGCTCATCTTCAGACACTAGTTTCCCCAAAATCTTTACCAGTTCTCCATAAAACACATACTGAAGAGGATTCCTGCAGCTGGCCCTCTTCCCTCCCACATCCCTCAGGAATGCCCACCTACATCATGTACAGGAGACATACAGGACCTGGTAAACATGGAGGAAATACCACCACTGACCCCTTTTAAACCAGCTGAAACTAGTCTTTAATAACATAGAAAATGAAACTTTCATTCATCATCTGACTACACTGCTATAACGAAACACAGGAGTCCACAGACCACAGGCAAGTTGATTCTGCATCTTGATTAACAGCTAATTGTAGTGTCTGATGTTGATTACACAGGCTGGAACTGAAGAAATCCAAATTATGTAACTAGATTTCTAGGCATGTTCTGGATGTTGCTGCCTCTACCACAGCACCATGGTATGACATTAGAACATGCACTGTAATCTCTCCTGAACAGGAGGTTCTAAACCAGAAATAAACACATGCAGGACATCCTCTTCAACCTGAATCATACACAGTTACATTCCATACATCACAAATCCTCCCAGTATAAGAAAACATACAGTTACATTAAAGGTGACAGATGATATTTAGGACAACTCCAAATAGAGCTGGGCATGGAAAAACAACAGATTTTCTTTTAAGGAGCACATAACAGTATGAAGATGCCCCACCATACTCCTCAGATACCAACAGTGAGGCATGCCAACTCCAAAACAAGAGCAGACAAAACAAGGAAGAGGACAAGCACAGCGAGCTGTACGTTTTCCTATGGCACCAGAACAGTGCTACTGCACATGAACAGACTGTCTTTCATGTTTTGTCCTTGGTCACATGCTGGCTGAAGCACACGCTTCCCTCGTACCTCTGGAGTATTCTAGGACAGTGGCACTTTATCATGGATGGGCAGTTAAACATGCTGAAGATTCAGTCTGCAAATAAACGGAGACCGGAAGGAGCCCAGGTAAAGATATCCATTGTGCTCATGTGCCTCACTAACGTAAGCTACTGTTACCCCATTGGGATCATGAAAGCTTCTTTTGTAGGCTCCTGTCTCGCTTAGTTCAACAACAAGGCTGTATTTAGGCATAAACTTTGTCACAGTTTCCTGACTCAGCAACTAAAAGAAAAAGAGAAAAAAAGAGAATTAACAACAGAAGATTTTGTTCTCCACAATTAGATCTCAGACACTCAGACAAAGACCACTCTCCTTGGAAGAAGCAGGCAAGAACATAAGCAGACATTCTGTGTAAACAGTATTACTCTGTTCTATGTTCACCTTCTGAATTTCAACTAATGCTTTAACATATGGTGGTCTTCCTTCTGTAGGACCAGGACGGTTTCTAAAGCTGTAACTGAGGCTCTAACAGGTCAAACTGTAATTGTTCATCTAGAGCCTGGTGGGCAAAAGTAAGGATTAACCAAAGTCATTGTCTTCCCATGTACTACCTAGGCTACATTAATGCCATCTTCTTCCTCAGCAGAGGCAAATGTAAGCATACAAACTTGGAAGAAAAGGATGCCAAGAGAAGACCTGGCCAAGGAAATGACCCTGTAACAGGTCTTCCTAAAGTGTCTATTCCTTCACTTTCTTTCACTGCAATGGTACCTCACTGAAAAACGTGATTTCACATTTTCAGTTTTTCAAATCTTAGAGGGGGGAAAAAAAGTTCAGTTACACCAGTCCAGGGAACACACTGAACAGTTTTCAGATGTTGTCAGATATTGCTACCAAGGACTGATATTTTCAAGCTATAACTGAAGACACGTATAAATTCATGTGCCTGTGTTAACTCTACTCACTCAAGCTGCTTTCTTATGGAGATATATTTTTTCTCTCTGTAGTGAAGGCTTCAACCTATTAAAAAACCCTGTTCTTGCATTTGTTACATTCGCTTGAAATATATTTTTTGGCTTGAAAAATGCTGCATTTACTCTGAGAATGAAGAGAAGACATCTTAAAATATCAAGGAAGAATTCAGAAACTCATTCTTTTTGAGGAACAGGCCTTTTTCCCCCTTGGATTTGTCTGCCTATAGCTCAAAACCAGCCTCATACTGTCCCTCACACTTTCCTCACAGCTAAATGATTGTGCAGTTGATCACTTCCACTGGCAAAAAGGTGTGAGAACATGGATGGAGGAAATCTCACCAGACCAGTTCTGCAGCCTCTCCTCTTGGTAGGAATTAAAAAGTCTGATATTTATTTTCATTGAGAATAGGTTAATG